TGATTATACCGCCGTGTAGAGGGATGAACCAATCACAAGATGAAGATAAAATCAATCACCGAGAGAATGCCAAATGGCAAGAGACAACCAATTTTCTCCCGAGGTTCACGTGCTTGCCAACACGCTACGTCCCCATTGTGTCGACCAACACTTGGTGGTTTGACGGCTAAGAGGTGTTGCACAAACCTCGTCCACACGATTGGACACCGCAAGAACCTACCCACAAGTGAGGTAACTCAATGACACAAGCAATCCACTAGAGTTACCTTTTGGCGCTCCGTCGGGGAAGGTACAAATCCCCTCACAATCACCGGAGATGGCCACGAACAATCACCAACTCGTGCCAATCCTCCACCGCTGCACCAAGCCGTCTAGGTGGTGGCAACCACCAAGAGCAACAAGCGAAATCTGCAGCAAAACATGAATACCAAGTGCCTCTAGATGTAATCACTCAAACAATGCACTTGGATTCTCTCCCAATCTCACAAAGATGATGAATCAATGATGGAGATGAGTGGGAGGGCTTTGGCTAAGCTCACAAGGTTGCTATGTCAATGCAAATAGCCAAGAGAATGAGCTTGAGCCGGCCCTAGGGCTTAAATAGAAGCCCCCACGAAATAGAGCCGTTGGGCTCCTCACTGCACTGAACACGGGCCGATCGGACGCTCCGGTCATATTGACCGGACACTGGACCTCAGCGTCCGGTCCTGCGATGTGCGCCACATGTCATCGGCTTCAAACGCCGATCGCCCTATTTCAACGGTCAAGTGATGACCAGACGCGTTAGTTAGAAAGTAACCGAACACTGAACCTCAGCGTCCGGTCGTTTCCAGTAAGGTTCCAAACGTGACATTTCACGACCGAACGCGTCCGGTCCTGCTTGACCGGACACACCCTGCATCCGGTCACTCAACGTTTCCTCTATGCGCCTCACGTCAGCGTATGTCAGCACTGACCGGACGCACCCTACCAGCGTCTGGTCACTTTTAGCGCCAGCGTCCGGTCGAAGACCGAAACACACGCCCTCTGCTGCCACTGATCGGACGCACCGGTCCAACCGAGACCAGCGTCTGGTCACTTACAGTGACCTTTGTCTTTTCTGTACAGGGCGCCGGTGGCACCGTCGGACTATTCGCACTCTACGGGCGGACACTCCGCCGGTGAAGTTTTCTACCCTTGCTCAAATGTGCTAACCACCAAGTATATCACCTTGTGCACATGTATTAGCATATTTTCACAAATATTTTTAAGGGTGTTAGCACTCCACTAGATCCTAAATGCATATGCAATGAGTTAGAGCATCTAGTGGCACTTTGATAACCGCATTTCAATACGAGTTTCACCCCTCTTAATAGTATAACTATCGATTCTAAATGTGATCACACTCGCTAAGTGTCTCGATCACTAAAACAAAATGGCTCCTACTATTTGTACCTTTGCCTTGAGCCTTTTGTTTTTTTCTCTTTCTTCTTTTCCAAGTTCAAGCATTTGATCATCACCATGCCATCACCATCATCATGATCTTCGCCATTGCTTCATCACTTGGAGTAGTGCTACCTATCTCATAATCACTTTGATAAACTAGGTTAGCACTTAGGGTTTCATCAATTAATCAAAACCAAACTAGAGCTTTCACCGGTCGAACGGACCCAAGAACTATATGGATTGGCTGCTAAGAATCTGGAGTCGGTCACCAACTAACCCATCTTGGACCCCTGCAAATGGGAAGCCAGGGCCCCACTCGGACTAGCCCGTTAATAGCTCACCGAGCACCATGATTCGTCCATCGAGGAAAACATGGCACGGCTCAGCCCCTCCATTTTATAAAAAAACGCTTGAGGGAGGACGATCACAAGATGAGTTGACCCCTCGACCGGACGCCTACTACGTGCGGGGGTTTGAGGGAAGTTGGACTCGTAAGGAGGCCGAATATGCGGTCGCATGATGATGGCGGATCGATTGGATCCTAGGGAGGGATCAGAATCAAGAGAAATCTTTTTCAGCCCCCCCAAATCCCACAGCTACATGTTCCCAAGGAGTCCGATCGTGACAGAAGAGAATCGCAACCCACCAAGGCATCCCGTGGGCAGCAGAAGATCAAAGCCCTCGAAGTCCCTCCATCTGAAAAAGCCTACGAAGGAGTGTCCTACTCCACCGCAGGCTCGGGGGCTACTGTCGGGTATCAGTATTAGGGATACCCAAAGAAGGGATCTGAGGATCGTGAATGATAAACTCGCCTAGATAATCAAGGACGTATTTCAGTCTCGACCGACCCTGAAGGGACGGTTTCCCCCTCGCCAAACCCCTCGAGCACGGGCCCCATGTCGCCCGACCCCGAGGGCACAGGAGCTGTCTCACCCGACCCTAAGGGCAAGGGCTTCGTCTCACCTGACCCCTCGGGCACGTTCCCTGTGTTGCCTGACCCCAAGGGTAAGGGAGCCGTCTCGCCCGACCCTAAGGGCACGGGCTCCGTCTTGCCCGACGGAGACCCATACCGCCTCCAACCACTATGGGTCTAAGGGTACAACCTGGGGTCAAACTTTTGACATCGGGAGGGAAGTGGACACATCTTGACATGACCCGTGGCCACATTAGGCCATGCCCAAGGGTTCGCATCGCCAACAGCGATGGGTGCATGATCGCTGTGCTGTCTAATCCCCGTACGACAACTGACAGGCACGTCGGTTCACCACGTCGTCCGCCGGGACGGGATGGGACGCCACGACCAGCTGATGACATCGAGGCATGGCACCAGGGATGAACAGGAGCTCGATGTGGAGCCATCCGCGTCATCATCTACAACGTCGGCAGGACCCGCATGAAGGAGAAGAAGGACGCGACAGCCCTAGAGGCCATCTTCTTCCTCATTTTTCTCCTTTTCTCCCTCTAGTCTCTCTCTGTAACCTATGCCTTCCCCTTCACCTATAAAAGGGGAAGCATGATGCCCCATGAGAGGCACGAGCACACAACTGAAGAGCTCAACAAGACTCAACTCCATTTGATCTTTTCACCAGAGACTTGGGAACTTCTCCCTCTCTTGCCCATTTGTAACCCCTACTACAAACTAGTGACGGTAACACGAGCAGCAGCAGACTGAACGTTGGGACATTCCGTCTAAACCAGTATAAATCCTTGTGTCCAACGAGCACACCATCCGAGCCAGATGCGCAGATACAAATTTACTAGCCGGTGGTTCGAAACACCGACAGCCAGTGTCCCGCCCCTTTCGGGGGGGAAGTGAGGAAAATCGTGTTGTTGTCCATGAGGCCCGCAGAGGAACACTCCCAGAGGTCGCGTGTGATCCCCGGAACCTAGGTCATCTGACGTGTGAGCGGGTTCAGTAGGCGGACAACAACAGCCACCTCGGTGGTCTTGCAAGGCAAGAAGAGGAGGAGGCTCGCTGTCGTGGTAGCTCGGAGCACATCTGCGTCGCGGAGCTCTGGGATGTCCACCTGGATGCACTGGCCGGTGGAGGTGTTGAGGAACTGGAGTCGGCTCGGGTGTGGGGCGTCGGTGGTGTCGAGCGTCTCGTAGGCGCTGCGGAGCATGATCCACTGCCGGGGTAGAAGCGGGGGTCGTCCAGGACACCGCCGCGCGCGGGGTGGGGTGAGGGTCATCGCAGCATCTCCTCCACGCGGGGCACACGGCCCAGAAGCGGATATAGCCCGCCACGTCATTGGCGAGGACACGCTCGCCAATCAGACCCGCCGGCCCCTCATCAAGATTCGCCCAGTCCCTCCATCTGGAGCCGGCGAGGGCGGTGCGCGAGCGCTTGGCGCCCCAGGATAAGGAGCGGGTAGGAACAAGAGGGACCTGTGAGGTGGCGGTGGTGCAAGAGCGGAGGCCCCCCGCGTTGTCTGGCTTCTTCCCACCTTGGATCTGCTCGTCTGGCTTCTTCCTCTTCCCCGGCAGCTTCTTCAAAGGCCCGCCTTGGATCTGGGTGGCTTGGGTGGTGCCGCTGCCGCTGCGGGTGCCAAGGCCTGGCGTCGCATCGCTGGGCGTCTCCTTCTTTCTCCTTCGCGGTCGCTGCGAGATGCCGGGGGCCTGGCAGGCGGCAGCAGCTCGCTTCCCCATGCGCCGCCTAGCGGCGGTGGTGTCCTCCTCCTCCTTCCTCCCCTCTCCTGAGGTAACCTCTGTGTGGTGGTCACTAGTCAGTGATGAACCGAGGCAGAGCCGTGGGGGAAGATAAATGGATTGATGGGCTAGGAAGATGACCTCTATCTGTGTATATGGCCCGGATCCTGGATTCGGAAGGAAAAAAAAAAAACCGGCTCAGCTTTGATGATCCTCGTCGAGGTTAGGACTTAGGAGAGGGCTGGACCTGGACTATATATTACACTTGGATTCTTTCTCCGATTCCGGTACGGCATTATTACTCCAACTCTGTTACGGTCTCCCTGCCTGCCCTGGGCAGCTGCCAGTTGGGCCTTGGGTGGACTCTTGGCCCAGACAGGAGACGCCGGACGGATCCAACATTCACACCTAGTGACAGGGACAAGGTGGTCTTGGGTCATGGAGTGCTTTCATGTCCCTTCCTAATCCTAAACAGTGACTACTGCAGTACTGCTGCGATTATACAGAGTAAAAAAGAAACGAGAACTGTAATCTTTTCCAGGCCGTACATCAGTAACCATTTGAGCATACCAAGAACAAACCATACGCCAACAACATACTGTATATATGTTCACTTCAGAGTTCAGAGTGAGTGCAATACTGTCGTACATACATGTAGTGTAAATTCAATTCAATACTGAAGAACCAACACAACGATGCAATGCTTACTCTACCATGACACCAACTCTATGTCTCACTTCAAAACTGAAGTGTAAGCTACCACAAAAAGATCATGGAGATCGTTTCATGCCCCCATCAGAGATGGGACTGCAGTCCAGGCCGAATGACAACCCCTCCTTCTCCAGATTTACATCCCAAACGAACCAGCATTTGTATGTATCCATCATCAATTCATCATTCATCACCTTTCATCAGGCAATCGATCTCTACTGCTTGCACCATCCAAAGCATGAGAATTTCTGCAACCAAACCCAAATGCGAAGCTCGAATGAGATGACAGAACAGAACCAGCTAGCTAATATCTGGAGCATGGCTGTGCGCCGCTCACCGATGAGACGTAGCCGTCGTCGTGGTGCTGCTTGGCGCCGTTGCCACGCGCGCCGTCCTTGCCGTACGCCGCCGGCTTCCCCGCCTGGGTCTGCTTCTCCTCCCTCACCTTGTTGAAGATGTGCGTGTAGCCGTCAGCCGACGCCGGGTTGGAGTCCCAGTCGCCGAACTTGGGCACCGCCGAGCCCCTCGTCGGCTGCATTGCATCCATCCACCGCGTTAAATCGATCACCAGCTCGTCACAAGTGCTGCCGGCGGTACGGCATTGGCATGGCAGGGCGGCGCAGTGTGAAATTTACAAGGCAGAGCTAGCCAGCCTCACTCACCGTCTCGTTGCCGCGCGAGCCACCCTTGGCGCGGGACCGGTCGACGGAGTTGGCCACGAAGCCGTACCCGGCGCTCTCGGAGCTGCTGTACGGGTGCACGGGCGACTGCTCGACGCTGTACCCTCCGGCGGCCCGCCCGCCGGCTCTTCCGCCGTGGCGGTGGTGGTACGGCGACCCGGCGTAGGGGTTGGGCGACGCCGGCGCCGGCGGCGGCGGCGGCGCCTCGCTGGGCCGGCGCTCGTGCCGCGGAGGCGTCGGCGCCGGCGGCGCTTCGGAGCGGTTCGGCGACGGCGCGAACATGGAGAAGGCCTCCGGGTTCTCGGCGGGGTCGTTGGGGTTGATCATCTTGCCGCCGGCGCCCTTGCCCTTGCGTGCCTTCTCGAAGTAGAGCGTGTACGGCACGTTGCCGTCGTTGTCCCAGTTGCCGAACCTGGGCACGTGCGCGTTCTTCTGCTGCTGCATTCCCACAGGCATCCAAACCCACAAGAATCAGCCGCCATTTTTTCTTTCCAACAATTGCAAAGACAACACTTGTAGAACAATTCCAATGCTACTTCAAATTTTGACTTTTCTTTCAAAAAACAATGTAAAATTTGGATTTTTCTTTCAAAAAACAGTGGAAAATACTAAGAGTCAATGCCTTTTGTTTTCAGTTTTCTTCTAGACCAGTCAGCCATCAGAATTGCAAGACCAGTTGCAATGGCAGAACGTGGACATCAATTCAAGTTGACATGGGCGTGATCAACCAAAGTCCAAAGGAAGGACGAACTCGTACGCCATGACTTGCGGCCGTTGACTCAGTGCATGAACTAGTCAACGGAACAGATGTGGTAAATGAACAATCAAACAGGGAAGCTAATCACATGCTTGTGCATGGCCACATGTACAAATCAAGGATAAAAGGGACACGCTAGTGCAGTGGTTGGTTGGTACTTGGTTTGACAATCTGCAAAGGCAGCCTGCCAGCGAAGGTCTGCCTGGCTGATGACGCCTCATGTCTGCCTAAGTCTCCCAAATGAAAGAGAAAATTCAGGTCAAGATTATGTGCATCTTACGTGTGTACATCTATCTACTCTCTGGTTTTGAAAACGTAATGCAAGGTTTTACCTGACGCAGTCTATAGTACTACTACACTTGGACCAATTAATCTCATACAGTATCCCTTATAAAAAAAACTCATACATATATCTTATAATATAATGTCCATTACCATGGAATTGACAGCACATGAAGGTGCCTTCAATCTCATACAGCATATGAAGCTGCTGGTGTAGCGGCTCGCGGAGCTGTACCAAACGGCACCTAAGTGCAAATTTTTTAGATTAGGTGAATTTGGGGTGCGTGCACGCCTTACACCATGAGTTCGTTTTGAGTTGTGGTGGGTGTATTCCAATCTTCATTCATACGACTCTCATTTTTTTTCAGAAAAAAATGGGAGTCGTATTCCAATCAGTTAACCTAGCAGCATCTTCTAGCTTTCTGCATCTATCATTTATGAGAGAAGAAGACTATCAGGGCGACAGATTGTGACCGAAAGATATTTCACAAGTTTGAGGCAGGGACTCAGTCACCAGTTATGGATCTCTACACGCCAAGATATTCAACAGCTCACGCAAGAAATGGGCTCTAGTTCTAATTCTAACTCTAACTCGGAACTCGGTTGCTCTTGCTCTTTTCCGATTGCTCAGAAGAAGGTTGCTCTTAATGGCTAGAAGTCTACTCGCAGCGATGCTCTTGTTCCTTCAGAAAATTCAGATTCAGATACCGCATCCGGCTGGAAAACATACGGAGACGAACTGAACCCTTTCCGAGAGAACCATGGAACACCCTATTCTTGGTGGTGAAAGACTTGTTCTTTTGTGCAAAGTATAGGAGTACAAGATGCAAACTAGATCGCGCTACAAAATCAAACTGAAAAAACCGTGGCTTACAAGTCACAACCGAAAGAAACTAAACCAACTGTGAAAAGCATCGAGGGCTGTTGCCATGGAAGGCGAGCGAGGAAAAGGAGAACGAGGAGAGTGGAGAGGGAACTTACAGCCATGGCGGTGTTTCCAGCGCAGAGATGAGATGAGACGAGAAGAGGGATCAGACTCGATCGGAGTTGCCTTGTCGTCTGTGGCTCCAACGTCTGCCGGCCTGCAGGGAGAGAGGGAGAGGATGGATGGATGGATTTATGCGGCTGTCTGTGTGTTCGTTCCGGCGACTGGCTCCTGCCGCCTGGCTATTAGCTTTGCTGATCAATTGTCCAGGCTGGCCGGCAGGACTATAACGCCAAGAAAATGACGGGGAGAGAGGCCGGTTGCGTTGCATTCTTATATGCAAGGCGCCACGAGGCCGGCCTCTTTTCTGGTGGTGCCTTTTCTTACCAATCAATCCCATGCCACTCTCTGTCAAAGAAAAAAATATAATTCTAAATTTCAAATATGTTAAATTATTTTAATTTATTTAAGTTAAAAAAAACAGTACCAACATTTATGTTTCTAGATAGTGTGACTACAAAATATTTTATAATAATAATCTAATATTTCGTCCGTTCTAAATTATAAGTTACTTTAATTTTTTTAATATATCTATTTTGCTATGCATCTAGATATAATAATAATATATCTAGATACATAGCAAACAAAGCGACTTATAATTTGAAATGGTGGGAGTAAAACCATAGACGTCAGTATCTAAAATTTTTTGTCTCGTAAAAACCAAAATTACATTCCTTTGAGTGGAGAGGATAGATTCTTTCGTCCTTGGAATCCATGTGGCTTTTATTTTGTTTCTTTTTGGGTAACTCTGCTTGTCATTTCAGACATACCAAACAGCCTCAGCGGTAATACAGGAGGTTTCTTAGAAATTACAGTATTAGGATCGGAGCAGATATAGAAATTACAGTATTAGGATCGGAGCAGATATAACTGATGAACAATTTTGACAACCGTGAAAAACGTGCTTCTCACAGAGCTTTGACAACCACAATAGTGGCTTCTCGGCTTCTCCTCCACCCCTAACAATCCTCAAAGCTTTTGCCAAACGTTATTTCTGCTGTTCGTGGAGCTGAAGAAAAACTTACCCGTGAAAATTGACAACCCTTTTGAAAACAATCCTCAAAGCTTAGATTTTTGGGGTATCTCCTAAACAACTAAAAGGATGGAAATTTTGGGGTATCTCCTAAACTAAAGAATAAATTTAAATTTTTTGTGCGATTTTTTTGGTCGCTCCTCCTTCCCGTCCATGCGATACCGCGTCCCCCGCCGCCCGCTCCCTCCCCTCCCCTCAAATCACGCAACATCCCCTCCAATCACGCTCCCTCCCTTCCCCATGCGCGCACCCAAGCCGCCGCCGCCGCCTCTCCCACGTTCCCTCCCCCTCCCCACACATTCGTCCACTCCGCCGCCATTCCTCCAAGCCAGCCCCGCCCAGCAGGCATCATCCGGCCGCTCGTCTCGCCATGGTGGCACAAAGAAGCGACTCCTCCTCGTCCCGCCTCCCTATCGGAAGACGACGCCACATCATGGCAAGGGAGCTGAGCATAGCTCGCTCACTCTGGCGCCCTATGAGCAGCAAGAAGAAGAAGACCCATCTCCATGAGCCCCGACCTGCCCTCGCCGCCTCGTCCGGCCTCTCATTGCCAGACACCACAGCTCCCTCCAACATTGGTGAGGAGTCTGCAGCAGCCCTCAGGGGAACCCGGCAAGGTCAGCCACCGACCCAACTTGCCTTCTGTCGCCTCATCCCTGTCCTCACCAGGTCTTCTTTTTACTTTTTTTTCCTGGTCAATGCATTATTCTCCGTGTGGTTGCAATGCCCCTGCTTGGCTTCTCTGGTTGGACAATAGATGATAGATGATGTCGAGTTAGAAGATGAGGCATGAATTTCAGCTGAAATCTACGACCTGTGAAAATAGAGTGCAAGATTGAATTATTGACAGTTGAAATACTGAATAAAAAACTAATTTAGGTTCCTATTTTTTCCCAGATGAAATCTACGACCTATGAAAATAGAGTGCAAGATTGAGTTATTGACAGTTGAAATGCTGAATAAAACAAATTTAGGTTCCTATTTTTTTCCTTTAAAAACTAATTTAGGGCTAACTTGATGGAATGGGCTCATTAGTATATACTGAAGATTGGGCAGTGGGGTTACGATCTGCCACTGCCAGCAGCAAGACGGCATCGGGCTAGGCGTAGAAATTAGTAGCTGCGGCATGCAGGTATTAAGAAATCATTTTTCTAATTATTCAATTCCGTACCTTTTCTATTTGTGGCACAACATAGAAATAGGAATTGTAATACCCTGTAGCTTTGCTTCTTTGCAATACCCTGTTGCGTGCTTCTAAAAGCGTAGTGTCATGTGATATGTCTGACTGCCTTGAGTAGTTGAGTCTGACAATTGTTAGTCATAGTATTGTTATTATGTTAACTTAAGGGAATTCAGACTTGCTTGTTATGTCAACTAAGGGAATTCAGAATCGTACTGCCCCACTTTGCTCCCTGCAATTCCAGAATGAAGGGATTCACTCAGTGGTTTGTTGTGATAACTGATAAGGGTTGCCATCTGCGATTTTTATCATGGTTGGTGTCTTGCGATAGCCTGTGCAGAGCACCATCAATTGTGATGGCATTGCTTGATCAGGCATATATTAGTGCCTAAAAGATTAGTAGTATACACCATTCTCTTCAAATTTCAGGTTTTTGAATTTCATATTTGATGGACCATTTTATTGTGTCTTTTGGATAGATTGCAATGGGCGTCATCGCCACATGCCATCTATTGATTTGAGACTTTGGGTGCAGATAAATTGCATCATTTTTTTCATGATATATTTCAGTTTTCATACTTCTCATCGATGTTTCAATATAAAACTACTCTAAACTACTATATTTGTCTTCTATGGGTCATACAATAGACTTAAAGCGATATAGCGTTCTTTGTTTAGTTTTCCCCCTGATGTACCATGCATTGTTTCATTATTACAATTAACAGTCTACAAACTTATCAGACAAAACTTTCTGATATACCATGCATTGTTATTTCATTTGTTACCTAAGAAAGAGGCATGGATGACAGATTAATCATATTTTATTATAGAATGTTGTTAACAGGTGTATACTATTCATAATTACAGGCAGTCATAATGCCAGCCCTGTGCTTCCTGAAGATCGCATAGAATAAAGCAACTTGTTCACAGGTAAATGATCGTCAAATTGCAGTTATCACAAAATGAATTTTCGTCCGTGCGATACCGCGTCCCCCGCCGCCCGCTCCCTCCCCTCCCCTCAAATCACGCTCCATTCCCTCCAATCACGCTCCCTCCCTTCCCCATGCGCGCACCCAAGCCGCCGCCACCTCTCCCACGTTCCCTCCCCCTCCCCATGCATTCGTCCACGCCGTTGCCGTTCCCCTCCAAGCCAGCCCCGCCCGGCAAGGCCATCTGGCCACGTCTCGCCGCGGCGGGCACAGCAGGCGACTCCTCCTCGTCCCGCCTGCCTACCGGAAGATGACGCCGTCACCGCGACAAGGGAGCCCAGCATAGCTCGCTCGCTCTGGCGCCCTGCGAGCAGCAGCAGCACCCCCGCTCCGCAGCCCCGACATGCCCTCGCCTCGTCCGGCCTCTCCGCTGCCAGGACACCACAGCTCCCTCCAGCCGATTGGTGAGGAGCTGCTGCAGCCCTGCAGGAACCCGGCAAGGTCAGGCCACCGACCCAACTCGCCTTCTGTCGCCTCATCCCTGCCCTCACCAGATCTTTTTACTTTTTTTCCTGGTCAATGCATTATTCTCCGTGTGGTTGCAATGCCCCTGGTTGGACAATAGATGATAGATGATGTCAAGTTAGAAGATGAGGCATGAATTTTAGCTGAAATCTGCGACCTGTGAAAATAGAGTGCAAGATTGAATTATTGACAGTTGAAATGCTGAATAAAAAACTAATTTATGTTCCTATTTTTTTCCAGATGAAATCTGCGACATGTGAAAATAGAGTGCAAGATTGACTTGTTTTACAGTTGAAATGCTGAATAAAACAAATTTAGGTTCCTATTTTTTTCCTTTAAAAACTAATTTAGGGCTAACTTGATGTAATGGGCTCATTAGTATATACTGAAGATTGGGCACTGGGGTTACGATCTGCCACTGCCAGAGCAAGACGACATCGGGCTAGGCATAGAAATTAGTAGCTGTGGCCTGTAGGTATTAAGAAATCATTTTTCTAATTATTCAATTCCATACCTTTTCTATTTGTGGCACAACACAGAAATAGGAATTGCAATACCCTGTTGCTTTGCTTCTTTGCAATACCCTGTTGCATGCTTCTAAAAGCGTAGTGTCATGTGATGTGTCTGACTGTCGTGAGTTGTTGAGTCTGACAATTGTTAGTCATAGTATTGTTATTATGTTAACTTAAGGAAATTCAGACTTGCTTGTTATGTCAACTAATGGAATTCATAATCGTGCTGCCCCACTTTGCTTCCTGCAATTCCAGAATGAAAGGATTCATTCAGTGGTTTGTTGTGATAACTGATAAGGGTTGCCATCTGTGATTTTTATCTTGGTTGGTGTCTTGCGATAGGCTGTGCAGAGCACCATCAATTGTGATGGCATTGCTTGATCAGGCATATATTAGTGCCTAAAAGATTAGTGGTATACACCATTCTCTTCAAATTTCAGGTTTTTGAATTTCATATTTGAGGGTCCATTTTATTGTGTCTTTTGGATAGATTGCAATGGGCGTCATCGCCACATGCCATCTATTGATTTGAGACTTTGGGTACAGATAAATTGCATCATTTTTTTCATGATATATTTCAGTTTTCATACTTCTCATCGATGTTTCAATATAAAACTACTCTAAACTACTATGTTTGTCTTCTGTGAGACATACAGTAGACCTAAAGCGATATAGCGTTCTTTGTTTAGTTTTTCCCCTGATGTACCATGCATTGTTTCATTATTACAATTAACGGTCTACAAACTTATCAGACAAAACTTTCTGATATACCATGCATTGTTATTTCATTTGTTACCTAAGAAAGAGGCATGGATGATAGATT